CGTGGGCATTGTGTTAGTTTCTGGTATAGCTGGGCCTTGGGCTGTTCTGTCGTTGGGGGGTGTCTTGCTCTGCATCTGCATTGAGGTAAGGGACCCCTAACCGTGGGGGTGGCGGGAGATGTGTGGTTATGTGGACTATGTGTCCGTTCGGGCATCTTCTGTGGTGTCTAGTCCTAGTGGTAGTCGGGCTCAGGTAGCCCCATGTCCGCGTGGGTCGCAGGCCTGGGGACCTGAGTGTCAGTGGGATGGTCAGATCAGAAGGAAAAAAACGTTAAGTTACAGTAAAAAGCATAATGAACATGAAACATTAACATAATATTGGATGATTCCTCCTTCGTTGGGATGAGGACGGTGTGGGATATCAGGGATATCAGCCCGTCTTAGTCATATCTTGGGTTTTGCCAGCAGGTTAGTATTCACGGACCCTGTGCCCCCAGTCCACTCGTTCCCGGGGCATGAGGTGAAGCGGTCATGTGTTCTATGTGCTCTCCGTGGGGTTTCGGGGTCTGGTTCGGCAAGCCAAGGGTTTTCAGATATTTGGAGGCTTTCTCAGGCGATGTGAGAACTTGAGTTGTCCCTGCGCGGGTAACTTCCATGGAACCTCCTGCTCCCCACCTGTAGGCTATACCTGCAGCGCGTAGCTGTGTGGCTGCCGGGCCATATGACTTGCGCCATAGTAGTGTAGCCCTAGATAAGTCCTGGTAGAAGGTCAGCTCTGAGTCTTCAAAGGGTAGTGGTGTTCGGTCTTTAAGCGCCGCCATGATATGGAGCTTGTCCTGCACTGTGACACATCTTAATATGACGTCTTGTGCTGCCGGTGATTTCAGGTGAGTGTAGGCCAGGAGCCGGTAGATTCCGTCTGTGACGGACCGCTGGCACTCCGACTGAGTACCTCCGCCAATCGATGCTCCTAGTGCTTGCTGAGGACTCCAAGCACTCCAACTGACACATTCAGCACTGCAGACCACACTTCCAGCGATGCAGCTGCGCCGGGGTCTTGCTGTCTCCACCCACCCTGGACTCAAGGCCAGGATCCAGCTTCCAGTGGGTGTGCGTTCTCTCTTTCCCCAGAGAGCAGGAACAGGAACAAGCTCTTAGCAGAGCTTAGTGATCATAACCTGGGGAGTATAGTGATTATAGCAATCCCCAGAGTGTAGTTCTCCAATCCCCCAAACATGAGCCAAGGCTTCAAGAAAGGTACAAGATGATCTGCTTTTAATGACCACACACTGGCTTTTATGTAAGTCCCCAGGCAAGGGGACATCCCACAGGGTAGGACACAGTACAACCAATCATTTACAGGAAAACCGTAAAACACACCCAGCCCCAACATACAATCCCTCCCCTCTGCCTGTGATATAATTACTGAACACAATGGGTTGATGTAATTTATCACAGGCAGGAAAAATACACTTTTTATACATATACTGTAACTTTAAAAATATGCATCATATTCACATACATATTATTAATCAACACACTTTAAATATAAACATAACCAAAAATCATGCAAATCCTTCCATTAGTTCAAAAGTTAGTCGGAAGTCCTTTGTGACCAAATGAAGCATGGCTTTTCTGCCCAAAACCCGTTCCACCTATTCTTCTATCCTGGAGATAATTGGGAAGTAATCAAATTATCACCAAGGACAGAGGCAAAACTCCATTGAACACATGGCAGCAAAAAGACAATAAAAGACATAAAATTACACAATGTTACAATTACTACATAAAACATATACATGCAACATATCCCCAGATAGCTTAGATCTGAGCGCACATTATTACGTAATGGCGCTCAGATCACATACATACAGTTTAATCGCCATGGAGCCAAAGTCTTTTCCATAGTCTTTTGTTACACGAATAGGCTCCATGGCATAGCTATCTGGGGTAGCACTACTACCATACTGAAAGTCCAGAACGCCCCGGCAGAATACACAAATAAACCTTTCTGCAGGGGAAAATACAGCTATCAGCACATGGGCCATAGTCGGAAGGCAGGAGGCTAGCCAGTAGTCCCCTCCAGGCACAAGTGGCAAACGGCACTTCGTCACACAGTCTATGGCGATTTTATTTGCAGCTGCGTGGGGGAGTATGCTGGCCAGGAGGCGCCTAACGTAGTGAGGCAGTTCTTCTGCAGTGATTGTGTTTGGGATTCACCTAATTTTGATGTGTGTTCGCCTTTGTCGGTCTTCTATGGTCCCCATTTTGAGTGCCATAAGTTTTTGGTGGTGTTGTATAGTTTGTACCTGTTCATCCAATGTTGTCAGGTGTGTTTTAACCTCCCCCAAGTCTTGTTCTGCAGCTGTTACCCGGTCTGTGACCATTTGTACCTCTGTCTTTGAGGAGGGCTGTGTCAGCTGCTAAAAGCCTGTGGATGTCAGAGAGTAGGAGTTTGAGATCTCCCTTAGTGGCTGGTGCTGCGTCGTCAGGGGAGTCAGGCTGCTGTATCAGCGTTGTCTTCGTGGCCGGAGGGGTCTCTGGTCCACCCTGCTCTGAGTGGGGAGTGTGGTCTGGTTCCCGCTCGTCTCCCGCGGGCATGGGTGTTACTCTCATAGAAATAAAAAAGTTGTTTTTTTTTTTATCAATTTTTTTATAACATGTAATACCAAGAATATATGTTCTCATATGCCCATGCGGTTTCCAATATGTGGGAAAGACATCAAGACCCCTCAAGATTAGGATACAAGAATATATATATCATATATACAAAATAAAATAATGCTCTTGCACTCACGCTTTAGTGTCCCTTTATAACCGGGTGCTAGCAAACCACGGCTGTATTATCCAATCTTCTAAATAGGTAGCTACACTCACGGATTTTAAAAGTCCAAAATGTATTGATGAATGTTTAAAAAAAAATAAAAAAAAGACGATCAACATTTCAACCCTCCATAGAGGACTTTCATCAGGATCAAATACCCTGGTATTTGATCCTGATGAAAGTCCTCTATGGAGGACTGAAAACGTTGATCGTCTTTTTTTCTTTTTCTTTTTTTTATAACCCGGTTATAAAGGGACACTAATATATATATATATATATATATATATATATATATATATATATATATATATATATAATGAAAAGAGAGTACACTAACCATAGTCTATCCCAATATTTTTTAGAGCATCATAACAAAAATTCTGACCAACTTATTTTTTGGAGTCCAACATATTTCGGGCCATTGGAGAGGCAATAGTATCCCATCCAGTCTTAACAAAAACAAAATGAAATGGTTTTTTAATTTGGATACTATGGCCCCCAGTCTTAATATAGATTGGCAATCCATCACATTAATAAAATATTATTCTTAATCCTTTTATACTTTTTGGGATTTTTTTTAATTTGAATATTATATATATATATATATATATATATATATGCTTTTTTTTTACGTGCATTCAATCTTTTATTATTAAATATATACATTTTTAAATATTTTATCTTCTTCATCATTCAACTCTCTTCCTATGTTTAGAATTGGGTTTTAAAATGCAATTGATCATGTGTAAAAAAAAATTTGATATTTTTTTTAAAAATTGTGCTAATAGGTATTCTTGTCTTTTATACCAACTTTATGTTGCTTCCGCGTTCAATGGAAGGCATATAATATGCAAGAGACTTTGTATATAAATATACTGACAAGTATATGCATGCACGTAATATCAGAAGCAAGTCTGACCGAAAGCGAGATTTGGAATGCAAGAACGAACGCTATTTCCAGAACTACGGCGCGTTGGGATGGCGCTGGAGACTGGCGACAATTAAAATTTCCTGTTTTACGATATAACTATGACCATGTATTTTACTAGTCATGGACTGTAGAAAGACAGTCATGACGAAACGCGTTGTGCTTTGTGTTTTTTTGTTAAATAAAGTGTCCTTTCATCCATCTGCTGCATCCTGGAGATTCCTTACCTGGGTATGCTTGGTAACCATTTGTGGTCACCACACTATCTATACATCTTCACAGCTGGAGCCTGTTATAAGTGGCTCTGGCAAATGTATGTAGTTCTGAGTGGTTCTTGCGATTAACTATATATCATATAACAGTATTATACTATGAGAGTATCAATTTTTATGTCTCCTATATAGTCTTGTATTTACTGCATTCTACTGGAGAGTTCAGATATATGTATTTTATTATTATATTTATATTGTTTAGCACTTCCCACTTTACTTGTTGTATTTCATTTTCCTTGATGTCATGCCACATTAGGTGATCAGTGGCATTGGATAATTTGTGCTACTACTACAAAACACACCTCATTTTCTTTCCTTTGGTATATTTATTAACCCACTGACAACCGTTTCTGTAGCTAAAAAAAGAAAAATATCACAAAACCAAATTATTTTATATTAGGGATCGACCGATATTGATTTTTTAGAGCCGATACCGATAATTTGTCAACTTTCAGGCAGATAGCAGATAACTTGCCGATATTCTGTACATTTACCATTTGGAAAAAATAAACTATTTCTAAAGGTAAATGCACAAAATATACATGCCACATGTAGTGAATGCAGTGTGCTTAGACAGGGGAGCTGTGTGTGTTTGTGTAGTGGATGCAGTGTGTACTTGTGTAGTGTGTATATAATGAATGCAGGGTGTGTTTGTGTAGTGTGTATAGTGAATGCAGTGAGTGTGTAGTGTGTATATATAATGAATGCAGAGTATATGTAGTGTGCGTATAGTGAATGTAGTGTGCGTAAAGTGAATGCAGGGTGTGTCTATAATGAATGCAGAGTGTGTGTGTTTGTGTAGTGTGTGTATATAATGCAGTGTGTGAGTGTAGTGTGTGTATATAATGCAGAGTGTGTGTTTGTTTAGTGTGTGTATATAATGCAGAGTGTTTGTGTTGTGTGTGTATATAATGCAGAGTGTTTGTGTTGTGTGTGTATATAATGCAGAGTGTTTGTGTAGTGTGTGTATATAATGCAGAGTGTGTGTGTGTAGTGTGTGTATATAACGCAGTGTGTGTATATAATGCAGATTGTGTGTTTGTGTAGTGTGTGTATATAATGCAGAGTGTGTGTTTGTGTAGTGTGCATTAAATACACACTACACAAACACACACTCTGCATTATATACACATACTACACAAACACACACTCTACATTATATAGAGTGTGTATTTGTATAGTGTGTGTGTTTCTGAAGAGATGTAATTTGTGTAAAATGGGGGGGGGCATTTTTTATTTTAATTTTTAATATTTATATGCTTTATATATTTATTTATTTTTGTCCACTCTTCCTGATTGTTACTTGGCCAGGGAGGGGGCTATGTGAATCCCTGGTGGCCCAGTGGCATGTACTGTGTACTGAGCAGTGGGGGGGCCAGCAGCAAGTTGTGACTTAGCTTCCCAGCAGCTCCTCTAGCTCCCCAGTGTAAATCTTGCCATGGTAACCCGTGGGACTCGCGAGATTTGACATGGGAGCTGAAGGAGCTGCTGGTAAGGTAAGTCACAGCTTGCTGTGGGCCCCCCCCAGGACCACCGGGCTTGTAATGGGCCCGGCGGTCCTGTTTTGTATTATCGGCAATATCGGTATCTTTATATATCCAGTATCACTTAAAGGAACCCTATAGTGCTGTTGAGTTTTGGTGACTGGTCCAGCTCTGATCTAACTGAAAAGATGACTGTACTCACCTTTTCTCTAACGCCACACCAGTATTGTCACGGCCGGACCTGCCAGACTCCTCCTCCTTGGCTGAGATCAATCTTGTTTATCTCAGCCAATCCAACGAATGCTGCACTGCATCAATCGGCATCTTAATAGGGATGCATTGAATCAATGCATCTCTATTGAGAATGTTCAGCCTCTCCACGCTGTGCAGCACTGGACTTGAAAACACCACTATTGGCCATTTTAGTGACTGCCACTAGACGTGTTACAAGGCATTAATGGGAAACACTGCATTTTCTCAGAAAAGGCAGCATTTACATTGAAAAGCCTGCATGGACAAGCTGTAGACACCAGAACCACTACATTCGGCTGTAGTGATTTTGGTGACTATCGTGTCCCTTTATTATGTAATTCCCCCCAAATCTTACTATAGCAAAGGCAGAATCTGCAGTGCAACTCATTCCATTTTATCTTGGCTAAGAATTAAGGGAATTACACTCCACAGAATGTTTAATGCATACCCTAAACATATTTTACGGACATACTTTTTTGGCCGTCCATGTCTACAGCAGGGGTGCCAAAAGGGTAGATCCCAAGATGTCGTATGTCTTGCAAAACACATCAATAAAACAGAAAAGAAGAAAAAATAAATAAATATAAAAAATTAATAGAGCACCGTTTAGAGAATATACGCCTATTCCTTATATACACACCATACGCTTAGCATTTCAAGTGCAACAGTTGTTTGGAAGTAAGGAAGACATCCATCAAAACATTAACTCCCAACTTCTCAGTTTTCTCATGGGCTCTGTTTTTCATTCCATGCATTTGCTTTGAGTCTTCCTAAATTAAAATTATTATTCAGATGTGGACCACTATGCTAATGGGGGGTATGAGCTACACTTCACTGATAGGGCACATGGATTAGGTTGCTGTATCTCGTGTGCAGAGGAATTTTGCTTGCATTTCAGATATGGATTACCCATATGGGCAGGATTAGTTTGAAATGCAAATGGCATAGGCTGTCTCCGTAATGGCACAAGTGAGCAAATACGTTTTTAAGACCTTAGTTGGAACTAACCAAAGAGCACGCCACTACATTTTCAAGACGCTCAGCTCCTTAGTACATTCACTTATGGTCTCCATAAGTTAAAAGAATGATCTAGACATGGAACCCGTGTTCAGTGTGCCTAGGAGGTATAAACTATACTTCACTGATAAGGCCCAAAGAAGGACAAAACATTTGTATGGGTTTATGTGCCGTTCGTGCAGAGAGAACTTGCGAATACTTCGGAGCAGAACTGCCCTTATGAGCTGGATTAGTCTGATATGCAAATGTTTAAGGCTTTCTGTGTAATGGCAAATATGAGCAACATCTTTTTTGAGACCTAAATCAGGGCAAGCTACTATACATATGCACATTCTCAGTGTACTCAGGTTGTCTGTTTTTGCTTCGGTGCCAATTGACAACAACAAAAAAAAACTTAAAAAGAACAGTTTTGCATATGTTAGATTTCACAATTATAGATATTTGCTGCCACCATATGGACAAGATTTCTATGGACATTGAAAATGAAACATCTAGTAGAGTGCTATGAATTTTTGATGTATCACGTCAATTGAAAAACATGTGAGCTAGGAAGCAGGATCTTCTAGCAATATATTTCTACTGAAACATTGGTAACTTTATGTAGAAATTTAATAGCAACATATCCCCTGGTGTTTGACAAATTGAGTGGGTTCTTAATATCTCAATGTGGCTCTAAGCTTCAAGAAATATTTTTCTTAAAGTTTAGAGCCACACTGAGCTATCTAAAAACAAGCAAGGGAAGCCACCAGCAATCAGGGTATACCACTCTCCAACCAGCACCTTTTTGGTAGAAACTACAAATGCATTTTTTAAACGCATCACCCCACCAACACTTTTGGCTCTTAAAGCGTAAAAATCCCAGTCTGGGGATTTTGCATAATTTAGAAATACCCCCAACTGGGATTTACTTGCCTGAACCTGCCCCTTACAGGCTCTGCCATTCTTTTTTTAGCCAGTCCTCTTCTGCTGTAGCAAACATCATTCCTGTACACTTGTGCATGCACAAGAGTACAGCATTGAGGTCTATGGAGCCCCCAAACTTTGGAAGACTGAGAGGGTAGTACCTAGCCATAAAAGTGGTGATGATGCTTTGGTATCTAACTACCGACCAATATCACTGCTCCCTTTTGTTCACATCACTACCACCATAAGCACACACCTTAAACTGGAAAACAAATTATCATATACCATGGCCTGCTCTGTTGCTGTAACTTATCTGCTGAGTGCTTCAAAGTTATATAAAAATAGCCCTCCTACCCCCACTTCACAAAATTATAAAGTATCCCAGTCACTATATGGCCAAACAAAAATGATGTCCAAATTCCTATTCCTTATGTTACTTGCCCTTGCAAATGATGTGGCGTCTAATCCTTGTGCCTCAGCTAATTCTAGTCCTAATCTCCCCACTAAAAAAGGTTTCTCTTTTGTGCACTGCAACATCCGTAGCCTCCTCCCTAAACTGGATGCACTACAAGCCTGGTTTTCCCATTACAAACCAAAAATCATTGTGCTTACAGAATCATGGTTAACAACTAAAATACCAGACTCCGCCATTGGAATACAGGGGTATTGTTTTAGAAATGACAGAGCAAAGAGAGGAGGAGGCATTGTTATTTATGTTGACAAGTCCATAAAATTTACTATAACTCCCCTTCTGCCTTTGATTTCCTTTCTGGCACAATTGAGATCCCTTTCAGTAAAACCATCATTGATGCTGGAATCTAGCGCCCACCTAGCTCACCGGTGCACTCCCTTTCTGACATAGCCCAACTACTTGGTGAAACTGTAGCTCAAAACCAAAAAAGTGAACTGTTGGTTTTTGGAGATTTTAATATTGATTGGCTGAATCCTAAAAATAATAAATCATGTACACTGTTTAAGACACAATTAATTTCCTCCCCAACTCACATTAATATTAAAAACCAGAATCATGCTAGATTGGATTCTCTCCAGTTGTCCTGACAGAATCCAGGAGGCGGGCGTTCTCCCCAACAGTTTTAGTGATCACTGTCTAGCCTACTGCATACGCAAAATAAAGGCCACTAAATCCCCTCCTAAGATTATAATCACAGGGTTTTCCAAAAAATGTAATCTTGAATTCTTTTTAAACGAACTCAAGAACATACCATGGCACAGATTGAGTCTAATACCAGATCTAGACTTTGCAATTGCATGTTTTCAGTCCGAGCGCTTGTGTGTTTGGAATTTGCATGCCCCTCTGCGGAAAGTGCGAATAAAAGGGACACACCTGCCCTGGGTTACAGATGACCCCATTCAAATGTACCAGTTTAGAGATTCACTGTGGTCAAAGTTCAAGCATATTGGCTCCATGAACGATCGCTGTACCTACAGACAATCGCGAAATGCATGCACACAACAAATAAAAATGGCAAAGGCCCAATATTTCAGTGAAAATTTGAACAACCTATCAAACTCAAGAAACTTTTGGAAAATCATAAATAGCATAAAAAACCCCTACATGTAGCAAATGCGTTTAATAATTATTTTGTTGGATGTGCTACCACCCTGATTGCTAAGATAACAAATGACACTCATTTTCAGACCACAAATAAAGATCAGGCCTTGCCAAATCTTCAAAATCTTCATTTAGAGAAATTCAAATTTAGAACCTGTGCCTATTAGTGTCGTTAATAAACATCTTAATTTAAAAATAAAAAAACAGTGTGGACCAGATCAAATTGCAGCAATGTTGCTGAAGCTCAGTGCGCCAGCAATTGCTAAACCTGTCACTACCCTTTATCAATGAATCCCTGGTGTCAGGATACATACCCAAACTTTGGAAGACTGCAAAAGTTGTACCTATCCATAAAAGTCAAAAACCTTGGAAAAATGCGTCCACACACAACTATGTGATTATCAACAATCAAATTATCTGACCCCTGATCAATCAGGCTTTCGTCCAAGTCACTCAACTTCGACTGCCCTCTTAAAAGTTTGCAATAACATGAAAATTGGCATGGAACAAGGAGACTTAACTGGAGCTATTTTGCCAAGGCCTTTGACACAGTAAACCATGGCATTCTTTTACAAAAAACTTAGAAACTCATGCATCATCATCCACTGATCTGGTTTCGATCATATGTTTCATTTCTGATAGTGCTTCCCTCCCTTTTCCAGTCACGCGTGGTGTTCCCCAAGGCTCCATACTCGTCCCCCTGCTATTCACATTATTTATAAAATGATCTGCCTAACGTCTGCAAATCCTCAACTGTACACATGTATGCAGTCCATGTCTACAGCAGGGGTGCCAAAAGGGTAGATCCCAAGATGTCGTATGTCTTGCAAAATACATCAACAAAACAGAAAAGAAGAAAAAAATAAATAAATATAAAAAATTAATAGAGCACCGTTTAGAGAATATACGCCTATT